TGGTTTCAAATGGAATTGCACGGCCCAATGCCAGCTGTTTGATGCACCCAATGCTTCGTCTCATCTCATCTCATCTCATTTCATCCACATTGGAAGTTCCATTTTCCTATGCTCTCTAGCTATATGCCCATCTCTCTCTTTCATTGGATATCTTAAGCCATCAAATCAAGACAATCTTCCACACTCCATCATTGAGACCATACAGTATAGGTATCCACCTTCACCACGTAGAGCCTACAGTATATACAAGTGCTTGCAGGAGCAGACAGTTGTGTCTTCAAACAGACGAGGGGAATATAAGAAGTTGTGGTGGAATTGCTACTCCTACACAGGTAGCTATAATGAATTCAATAATCTTGACTATCTCTAGCACCTGGGCCACTTCCAGCTCGTGGAATTGACAATGAGTCCTCAATCTCCAGCAAGTGGGGCCTGGGCCTGGGCTTCTCTAGGGGGGGGGGCGCCAAAAAAAACGAAATTGCTCCTGGAAGTGCACTCCAACCATCTTTTTTTACGACCCTCCCCCTAGAGAAGCCCAGGCCCAGGCCCCAGTTGCTGGAGATTGAGGACTGATTGAGATTGGAGGTCTTGGAGACCAGATCTCCCTCATAGAGGTGATGTCCTGATGTTGTATGATGGGATGTCGTGGACTTGCTGATAGATGATGCTTGATGGACTTCTGTGTGGGAATCAATGAGAACTAGTATGTTTGAATCAGATTGATGAGAAATTTGATAGATTACAAGTCGACATTTTTGCTAGACACGTTCTTCAAAACAACTAACATGTTCAAAAAAAACACAGAAAACCACAAATCACAAAAACGCGTAAAAACCACACCCGCATAACGTCGTTTTCTGTTTAAAATGGTGCCTCACAGGTTTGTCTACGAAGCATTGAACTCTACAGCTCTAGACCCAACAACCCCTAATTTACACGGAGCTAGACAAGTTACGGTGAGACAGTGTTTCTGATGAACTGCGTAGGGTGCGGCGGGCGCTTTAATTGGTACTTTCGGGACATGATACATTACAGGGGGTTATAAAGAAAGCGTCGCAGCTGGTGGGAAGTGACGCGCGCCGATTTTCTATACCAGGAAACTTTGGTGGCGTGGGTGCACTTCTTGGGCCACCCCAACATTCGAACCTGGTCCTTCAAATCCATCATTTTCTTCGACTTGGCAGACTTCGACCTCTGCATCAATCTCCGAAAGCGGCCTACCTTGGATAAAGCTGATCAATCCTAGAAACATATATACTTTCAATTCCTTGGTAGGGTAAATCAGCAAGAAACATTGTTGAACGAAGACACCAGTCTTTTCAGAGCAACAGCTTGCTTTAACGCCCAGTCAGCGACGCAAGGTAGCTCGCTGAACAAACCACGGGGAAAAAGCTTTGCTTTGGTGTAGAACCGTAAAATAGCCCCGCGCATGGTGTAGGCCGACAACCGTGGCCCAGCCCCAATGGCCACCGCACCATGGATGCAAGCCAAAATGGCCTGGGAGATCGCATGGTCATTGACACTTGTATTGTAGAACTATGTGTGTTCGGAACTCAACCCATCAATACCCAAATAAAAGGTTGCCATGTGCTATTGCGTAACATCGGTGTTTGAGGTCACGTCCTTCAAGGTGCACTTCTGTTTGGTATACAGTTTCCCTGAGTGGTCGCACAGAAAGGTCATTCCCACCTGCAACGGACCAAGGAAGAATAATCGCCATCTCAAGAGACATTTGTCGTGTCAGGGAGATGAATTACTAATTACATAGGTTTTTTTGCAAAAACAAAGGTTGGACTTTGGTCTTGAGGCCAGAACTAATACCTGGCCTCTCGGAGCTTAGGAAACTTACAAAATGCATCAGCCAGCAACTCGACACGCGCCGAGATCTCTTCACCATCATCCGCCGAAGACTCAGAATCTGACATGGTGCCCCCAACTACAAGGCTGCTAGCCTGTGTGGTAATTAAGCTGCGGGTTTGGGAGTGCGACGTACTAAACATGTTCACGACCAATCCAAGGCATCTCTTCCCCAAGAGTCACGCATGAACAAGCACGCGTGGCAGGCACCTTTCACCTTCGACCCATCAAAGTGATGGAAGTGAACGCCGGCCTGGCCACGCGCTAGCTCGAGGGCATGGTGTGACCCAGTGAGGCTGAAAGCAACACGATGTAAATCTTCTTTGACAAAGATATTTTGCAGGAAGGCTGGGTCACCACCATATACCAGATTTCCCGTTGAAGACAGACGATTTTGAGAAAGCATGGTTTCACTGTGTTTCACTATCGTACATTGAATCCATTCATGGTTGAACCCACACGAAATGACAGCAAGGAACCGCATTCTCCGACAAACACCTTGTCGTTGTTCGCCGGCTATATATATGGCTATATATATATATATAAAACAGTTTGCATATAATATCTAGATATCCTTATACATAATATTTACATAGCGACACCACAAGACATCAAGAGAACGGTCGCTTCCCAGCTGCCCATTAACCTATGCCATATGTCCTTTCCAAATCCCAGTGATATCCTCTCAGCGTGTGAAAAGGGTTGGATGGATTTGGACTTTTCTGGTTTTACTTGTGCGCGCGCGCAACTCCACTCCCCCCAGAAAAGATTAAATGTTATGATACAGAATATTGAACATTGACACACGGAAAAAGAAAACACATATACCAGCTACCTGTTTGGAGAAATCCTGCAACCACACAGAAGCGTGGCTGGCCCACCATGACGGCGGCCAACGCCAAGATCCAAAGTGAAGCAACGCCGCCTCCAAGGATGCGGCCCGTGGCGTCGCCCGAATAAACACGGCACATGCTCATAAACTTGCGCAACCTATATATGTATATATATGGTTGTCAAGGCGTGCATGCGCTATTGGTAGCGGAGCAAACTTAGATCGGGCTTGGCAACTACAAGTCGCATCTGGCCTGATCGTAAGGCTCTTGGGCTCACCATCGGAGCACCCGTGCCATGAGGAAGGTAAAAGGAAGACAGGCAACGTGTTTGTCTTTGACGCACATATTCTGGTCTGGTGGCCAAATTTGCTTGGACAGCGTCTTCGGAATAATTCATATGTCCCAACTGCGTGCGCAAAAACGAGCTTGTCAACTCTTCTACCCCAACCGCCTGAGTAATGAGCAGCGAGGGCAGCAAGGGTGGTCACTTAACGCACGAGCCGGATGTTCTCAGGCCCTCTGCTGCAAAAGGATCCAAACAAGATCTGTGGGCTGCTTCCAAAATGCAAGCAGTAGAGATTTTAACCGTCGTGTGGTTCCCTCAAAACTGACAACATGTGGCCACTAAGACCTTGTTGCCTCAACATCTCCCAAATTCCCAAAAGGCAACGAACGTGCTTTTTCAAACACCACATGACTCGAGAAGACGTATGCAAGAAACTTCCGAGTTACGGTTTTTTGTTCCCTTTTTTCCTGCACGCGTAGGTTCCTCTGTTTTCACGTTTTCACGGGTCCAAATGGCAGTTTCCGCGGCCATACCGTTTTCACGTGTCCAAATGGTTTTTTGGAGGCCAAATGGTCATTTGACCTACGGACTCGTTTTTGGTGATCAAATGGCCCCCCAGGGATTGCGCGTGTCGAGTGCGCGAAACGCAGGCGAGAGATGGCGAGAGTGCGATTTGCCGGCTGCCCGCGCAACCCTCTGCGGAGATCGTGCGTGTCGAGTGCGCGAAATTCGAAATGCAGGCGAGAGTGCGATTTGCCGGCTGCCCGCGCAACCCTCTGCGGAGATCGTGCGTGTCGAGTGCGCGAAATGCAGGCGAGAGTGCGATTGAGTCTGTGCGCGCGCAACATGCGGAGATCGTGCGTGTCGAGTGCGCGAAATGCAGGAGAGAGTGCGATTGGGTCTGTGCGCGCGCAACCCTCTGCGGAGATCGTGCGTGTCGAGTGAGCGAAATGCAGGCGAGAGTGCGATTGGGTCTGTGCGCGCGCAACCTGCTGCGGAGATCGTGAGTGTCGAGTGCGCGAAATGCAGGCGAGAGCGCGATTGGGTCTGTGTACGCGCAACCCTCTGCGGAGATCGTGCGTGTCGAGTGTGGAGTGCGCGAAATACTGGCGAGAGTGCGATTGGGTCTGCGCGCGCGCAACCCTCTGCGGAGATCGTGCGTGTGGCCGCCGGTGGGGGGTTTGGGAGGCCGCATCACACACAGACACCCACGCACTGCCTCAACTTACTCGAACACACACACATACACAGACTCATATACACACGGACATAGATACACACACAGAGACCCTCACACTACCTCAACTCACTCGACTTAAACACTTCACACTGAACACTTAACAAATAACTCACACTCTGACTTCCTACGTGATGAAAAATGCTTTCGGGCCACTCGTCGTCTAGTTTCTCTGGTTGGGCAAGGATGTCCAAGGAAAATGAAAGAAAATTGAAAGGCAGTGCAGGGATGTGGCCCTTAAAGTCTAAAGCAGGACGGGGTTGGGAAGCACTCCACCCCTGAACAACACACAAGCAGTGAAACGAGCTCGAATTTGGTCCATTCATTCCATTTTACCTTCCAATGCCCAATGCCCTAAGTTGTCATGGTCATGGTTAATTCTACCCTCGAGTGGCTTACACAAAAATATGCTAAATCGCGATGATTTCTTCCTGCTCTGAACGTTACCCTTGAGAGCCCCTCAAAACATATGTTCCAAGCTGGGATGTTCCTTCCACTCTTCCTTCCTTCCTGCCTTACTTCCAGAATCTACGAAACTAGCCGCTGCAACAAAGACCCCAAAAAGCCAAGAACCCAAAAAAAACAAGATGCCAAAAGCGTAAAAAACACGACGCCGAAAGCCAAGAAACTCCAACGCCAAAAGCCAAGAAGCCACGCCGCCAAAGGCCGAAAGCAAGAGGCGTAGACCCAGAACCAACCAACAGGTATACTTCTTTCTGAAAACAACAAAAACAAATCAAACAAACTTAAGAAACGAAAGAAAAAACTCCGACGGGAAGCCCAAGGCCTTCCGCACGTCCTCGTGAGGGACAGCTCCCAATAATTCAACGCGATCCTAAGAGCCGGTTTCCGGATGCGGCGCAAAGGTTGCCATTACTTTAGGCTGATTGGGAGTTTAGGTGCTCAAAGGTTGAACATGTCGGCACTGAGTAAGGTTGCAGCATGCAAGTTCTCCTGGTAGCGACAGGACACAAAAATGAAAAAGAAGCCGTGACATGCAACGCATAAACTATAAACGCAGTTGCTTAGGGTGGTTGAAGTGAGACTACTCCAAAACCATCGTTGTCACTTGTATGATGTCCTCCTAAACATGTGCATGTTTAAATTGGAACTGCCTGCGTACTATCTGATCCCATCTAATCAGTCTCATCTGCTCCCAACAGCCTCATACCATTCATTGAGCTTCCATATATAAAATCGCGATTAAGGTTGGAGGCCCGTGCTAATAGAAACAAATAGAAAAGCGATTCCACCACTGTCTGGTTCCTCGCCCCAGCCCTTCTTGCTCCCGTTCGATCATCTCATCCAGCAGGAGCTGCTTTGGCCCACTGCCACCGATTAGCCTAGGAGGTGGTGATCAATCATAGCAAGTGAAGGACGGGCAGGATGAAGCAAAGGCAAACCTATATATTATATAGTAGTATGTATAATATATATTTTTTTGAGTATAGAAGCTGGATTACCGTTATCAGCTACCAAGTGTTGTCCAACTCTATAGGCAAAAAGTGCAGAGCCCTTGCCAGGTACACCAAGCTGACTGATAAATAAGCAGAAAAGCAAACAAAGAAACCGGCCACTTAAATCAGTTTCAGCAACCATCGCACATGCTGGTGCCTGCGAAGCAGCAAAACCAACTTGTGGCGCTTCTTAGGTAACGTTTGGATTGTTGGAGGAATTGCATTGCTGCAGGTTTTGTCCCACGAAGTCCTGCACCATTTCTCTTCACTATTTCGATTCCCTGCAATAAATTAAAGGGTGGACAGTGGAAGGACAAATCACCTTCAATTTCCCATGGGCAGTGCACATCCCAGCCTGCGACAGATTTCAGGCACAGCACCCACAAGCAAGTTGACCCCCTGCACAACGGATGACCAAAAGTGCATTCACTTCCACAGGTGAATACACAGCCAATCTCTAAACCCCACATCAAAAGGTGTTCCACATGTCTGCCTTCTGGATGTCTTTTATATAAAGGAGGGCATTCCGTCTTGGTCCGAAGCGACTGTCCGAGACCCTAAAGAATGTCCCTATGTATCTATTTACACAGAATAAGGGTGTGTGTATATATACAAATACAAATACCTGAGAAAGGAGAGGACGAAAGCCAGCGAGAGACCAATATGGTAGTGCAAGACTGGGAGGAAAAAATAGCGGAGCACTTATTGTTGAATGCCTGTCGTTTTCGTGGAGTTTGTATCAACGTGGAGTAGATCAAGATCGGAGCACAGCATAAAGTGTTGAATGTTTTAGGTTTTCTCGATTTTGCTGGCGCGGTGCTCTCTGGAGCGTCCCTGCTTGGTGGTCTACTTGAGGATCCATGAAAAAATAAACGTCAGTGAAGACTAGGAGAAGGATGCCCGAAATGGTTTTTGCGGTTGCGTTGAAGTGTGTTTCGGGTATCGTGCATCAATGCGAAGCCCTATAGAGAGCAGGGCTGGGAGGAAAAAATAGCAGAGCACCTATAGTTGAAAGTTGAAAGCTTGTAGTTTCGTGGAGCTGGTATCACTGCGACTGAGATCAAGATCGGAGCACAGCATGAAGTGTTGAACGCTTGCAGCTTGCTTGCTTCTCCTCTTGCGGCGCTCTTATCCCCAAGCCTCAATTCGGTCAATGGGACACGCTCACATCGTTCGCTCCCAGAGCGTTCACTCTTTGTTGTTTGGTCCTTCTTGGTATGATCAGAGCTACACAGTCCCTATGCCCTGCTCAGGACTAGAAAAATTGTCTGCAGACCCCTTCATGATGCTAATGATGCACTACTCGGCGTCCATTGCGTCACTCGCATCACCAGACCCCATTTTCACTGCTTTTCTGACCCTTGCTTTGGAGCGCTCTCCCCCACCAAGCTCCGGGTTCACCCTCTCAAATGGCGCCTTTTCGCGCCCTCCCCCCCCCACAACCCCTTAACTCACTTCGTTCGCTCTAAGAGCTCAAGCCTAGCCTATCGGCTGGCTTTCGAAAAAAAACTTATATATATATATATGTGAGTTCAAGCATGCTACATATATATATACATACACATGCATAATATACACATACACTGCCGGTGGCTCCAAAGGGAGCCAGCAACATTCCTACACGTGCTCTGTGTGTCCCAACGGATGCTAGGGTGTGGCTGCGCAGACAACCAAGCAACAGACCACCAAGCAGCAGCAGCAGCAGCAGCAGCAACAGACCACCAAGCAGCTGCAGCAAACACCCAAGCACCTGCAATCTACCACCAAACAACTGCAGCAAACCACAAAGGAGCAGCAGCAGACCACCAACCAGCAGCAGCAGACCACGACCCAGGAGCAGCAGCAGCAGCACCAGACCACCAAGCAGCAGCAGCAGCAGCAGACCACCCAGCAGCAGACCACCCACCAGCAACAGCAGCAGCAGCAGACCACCCACCAGCAACAGCAGCAGCAGACCACCCAACAGCAGCAGCAGCAGCAGACCACCCAGCAGCAGCGGCAGCAGCAGCAGCAGACCACCAGCAGCAGCAGCAGCAGCACCACCACCAAGCAGCAGCAGAGCAGCAAGAAACTGCAGCAGACCGCCCAGCAACAGGAGACCACCCAGCAGCAGCAGCAGCAGCAGACCACCAAGCAGCAGCAGCCGCAGCAAACCACCCAGGAGCAGCAGCAGCAGCAGCAAACCACCAAGCAGCAGCAACCACCCATGCAGCAGAACACCAAGCAGCTGCAGCAGACCACCCAGCAGCAGCCGCAGACCACCCAGCAGCTGCAGCAGAACACTAAGCAGCTGCAGCAGACCACCAATCAGTGGCGGCAGACCACCAAGCAGCAGCAGCAGCAGCAGCAGTAGCACAAATGCCCACCCGCTCACTGCGCGCAGGGGGGAGTTGAACCGGGGGGTCCATAATTATTTTAGGTTTCTGAGGTGCGTCATTTAACTTGCTAAAGCAAGAACAACTTCAGCTAGCTGAGTAGCCGTACAGGGGGGTTACTACAGTGATTGGAGACGTCAACTGCCGCCAGCGCAGTTTGGTGGATTTGGGTCAGCTTGTCAGAATTATAGATGGTGACATGCTTGTTGGTCTTTCTGAAACTACACTCCGCTCCGCATCCCCGATACATGCAACTTTTGCCGAACTTAGAACATATACAAGTCTGTTAGGACGTGCTAGAACTAAATGCAACAATTGTGTACATACAATATACTTGAGGCCAAGGGGGGGGGGCGAAAGCTAGCGCTCCAGAATGGGAAAGTGGAGGGCAGCGAGGTAGGAAAAAACACGGCGCTCTTTTTGGAGGCAGGGGTGAAGAGTCCTTTATATGTGGCTCTTTGCCCGGATCCTCCTGCGAGAGAAGAGAGAGAAGAGAGACGGAAAGACGAGAGACAGAGAGGAGAGAGAGAGAGAGGAGAGAGAGATGAGAAAGAGATGAGAGAGATGAAAGAGATGCGAGAGATGAGAGAGATGAGAGAGAGAGAGACAGTGAGACAGTGAGACAGTGAGACAGTGAGACAGTGAGACAATGAGACAGTGAGACAGTGAGACAGTGAGAGTGAGAGTGAGAGTGAGCGAGTGCGGCCTCAAGATACGCAACGCTAACCGCATGCCAAAGAGCGACGACAGGACGGAGTCGAACTTGCGAAGAGGGAGGAGGGAGGGAGGGAGGGAAGGTGGGAGGAAGACA